GTGTACACATTGAAGTAAAGGAGAAGAGCCACATGATGGGTTGACTCCAACTTGCGAGACCCTTGTTTTATAATTTATTGACAGTGGCCAAGAGGGAACAAGAACCCCTGCCTCTTCACGGGCACAAAAAAAAAATCGTTTGCGTTTCTGGTCAACGCATTCAATGGTCCTGATCCTGCGTCGTCGTGAAGGGTCAAATCCCCCCCGGTTGCTTTCCCTCGGGGTCCTTGTCCTTTCATACATGCATATTTTTCAGATTGTCTGAATCTTCCATATTTTGTTTTTCTGATTAACTTATTGCCAATTATTTTTATATTTTAGGCACTGGTGTCTGTCTTCTTTCAAAATGCAAAGTAAACGAGCTGTTATTTCAGGCAGCAAGAGGTGAAACCTGGTGTAATCGTAGAGGGAGCTGGAATACATAGAGAAACAGCATGATTTGTGATGTGAATAGTCTATCTCTGATTGGATAGTGGAGGTAGATTTAGATGTTGCCTCAAATCTGAATTAAAGATTTAAGAGGGTTTCTATCGTCTCTCAAGAGGCACAATTGCCGTCTTAAAAATATCGTATTCAAATGCATTTTGCCGTTCCTCCTAAACAAATTATCGTGCACTTGATAAAAACTTCAAAGGTTCTCAATCTATGATAGAGATTTGTGCTCTTGTAATCCACCGGTATCAATCCCACCTCATAAATACTTTAGAGGTTTCATATGAATGCTCGAGATTTGTTCTTTTCTTATCCAACAGCCGATGTCCCCCAATAATCTAACCCTTGGGGATTTGTAGAAGTGCCCTAAGGTTTGATCGCTTGATATAGGAAAAGAAGGAGGAATTGGATTCCAAAAGGAAGGTTGAAGAAAACAGAAAAGTAAACCTGTCAAAATGGGTCATAGACCTATTTCTTAACCCATATTTGATGGGTTAAGTTGTTATATGAGTTAATTATATTTAATAAATGGGTCATAATGGGTTTATAATGGTAAAGCCCAATATAATATGTGTATTTAATGAGTTCACAATTTACTTAGACTCAATGCATCTCTATGACTCTCTCTTCACATTCTCTCCACTCTCTCGCCATCACTCGATCTCGCGCTCGCTCATTTCGCACTCTTGCCTTAGTTTAGGTATAGATTGGGTTAAATATGTGAGTAATTTAGCAATATTGGTCAGGTCGGATACATGTTAGGTATGGGTCATTAGATTTGTATTGCATGAAAATGGGTCGAAATGAGTTAAATGGGTCAATTTGGTTCAGATTATTTTTTACTCGACTCAAAACCGATCCAACTCTCTAATTTGACAGGTCTACCGGAAAGTAATCTAGAATAAGCATTAATTTGAAATGACCCTTATCTTTATGGAAATCGAAGTATATTTTGCTTGAATAAATGTTATGTGTGGATTATACAGACGAAACTTATTAATTAAATTATTAAAGTTGTTTGTTATTTTTTTTGTTTGGCCATATCTTGAGTTTGTCATTAATTGTTTAGTTCACTTAGATATAACTAGTTTTGTAACATGAGTCATGTTGCGCGAGAAAGAAAAAAAAATCCGTACTAGCTTAATACAAATAATGAGATATTCGATATATGCTGTTAATCGATCTGTTCGATCCTATACACATATCTGGTAAATCGAAATGTTGGTCTTTCTTGGTCGCTAGTGAGGATTATCAATTATGTTTAAGGGTGCGTTTGTTTCGCGGAAAATGTACCATTTTCAGGAAGTCATTTTTCGGTATTTGGCTAAAACCTAAAAAAGACTTGTAAAGTATTTTCAGTTATTTGGTGAGGAAAATCTGATCGTGAAAATTATTGAAAAATTTTGTATTTTAAATTATTTTTTCTCTTTTTTCTTTCTTTTTTTTCCTTCTTCTTCCTCCCATCCGCCTCTCCACATTACCCGCAACTCCTTCCTCCTCTCCACCACCACCACCACCGCAGCCATCTTCGATGACCTCACCTCCCTCTACGCTGACTCCGTCCACCTTGGCCGCCTCGTCCTCAACCTCGGGCAAGCTCGAGCTCGCTGGGATCTGGCGAGGCCTCGGGCGAGCTCATCGCCAGATCGACCTCGAGCTCGCCGGCCTGCGTATTGGCTAGTCGCCGGAGGAAGAAGGAGGGAGGAAAAGAAAGAAAAGACAAAAAGAAAAAAAGAAAAAGAAAGAAGAAAGAAGAAAAGAAAAGAAAAAGAAAGAAAAAAAGAAAAGAGAAGAAAATATTAAAAATAAAAAAATTCGATTTTTAAAAAATAAAAAATAATTAAAAAATCAATTTTTTTTAAAAATATTTTATAAGAATAATTTTATTAATCAAGGACCCGCGCACAGTCTTTGTGAACTCGATTAGAGCTAGAGCGTCGGGGAGCGAGCATGGCTTTTGTGGACCCGAGTTCGGGTGCCGGAGCATTAGGTATGGGCACAAGGCGTTCGGGCCCGACCTTGATGGTCCCAGTCGTAGGTTGGTGAGCTCGGCTTCGCTGGCCACGGCGGCCTGCAACTGATGGAGGGAGGAAGAAGGAAAAAGATAAAGAAAGAAAAGAAAAGAAAAAGAAAAAAAGAAAAGAAAAAATATTAACAAATTCAAGATGAACATTAGGAATTCACTTTTATAATTTTATACATGAATGTTTTCCTTAATCGGAAAGTATTTTCAGTTGACTTATCATTTTCGACAAATCTAACTGGTGAAAGTCTAGAAAAAGGATTTCCAAAAAACATTTTCCCTCAAAAAAACGCACCCTAACTTAACGTTTATATGGCGACTATCCGACATGTCACACAACTTATGATGAAAGATGGAACTGGTGTGGGGTTTGGGAAGACTTGAAGAGCAATCTCCATTGGATCTGGTTGAGTTAATAATGCAAATTACTCTTTTTTTTCCCTTCTCGTGCTCATAAGTATGACTTTAATGGTCAGTGGATGGGTTTTGTCAAAGCACCAAGGCAGACAAAGTTCCACTTTTCTCGTGAGAGTGGGGGCTATCAAGATTGAAAGATAGCTTGAATTTTTCAATTATTATAAGCCCATGGTGGGCTCAAGTTATAATAGAATGGTCGAGGTCATCGAAATGGGCTTTAAGCTTCATTCCAAGCACCTCTTCTTTCTCGGGCTGGGGCAATCATTTGGCCTGTGATTCAGCTATGGATTGTAATGCACTCGATCGAATATAAGTTATATGAAGAATATTGTATTGCGACTCTCTTTTGGGTTTGTGTCCATGTCATATCAAGTGATTTCTCAGGTGAACGCATGCAGTAGAAGCACAAAGAAGGCCAACGTATCGACGTTAGGGATTTGTGATGAAATTTGGGACCTCATGTTTTGATGTCATGAAAAATCTTACGGGATCACTATCAATTATTGTAAAAATTTAAGCTAATAGATAAAGACGTAAGTTTTACTAACAGTGTTAATAGGATGATTTGCTGTCGGGATATTTTTGCGCCGACCAGAGCATGTGGGGATTGGTGGTCAACGGTGGTCCGTAAAACAAAATCTCCAGCACATAACAGATCCATAAATGAAACAAGAGGACATTCAATTTAGTGCTCTTTTCGGAAAAATGAGTCCTAGTAGATGTCCCAGATTCTAGAATCAAAATTGGCAAGAACATTAACTTGGTTAATATTATGTAACAACCATAGTCTATGATTCAGATTAATTATCGTAAGATCTGGTCGGAGGAGTTCTCCCATTCTCACTATAGTGGCCGATGTCTGGCCGTTATGGCAGGGTCTATCCTCAGAAGTGGCCCGAGCTCTGCCTCCTTGTCATTTGGATCTAGCATCCCGACTTATGCAGGGTCCGCTAAAACGTTCAGCGCGAGCGACATTGAGTGAGCTAGCGATCATTTCAGTGAGTCAAGAACACCAAGCGAAGGTGGCTTTGGGCGTGGATATTGTGGCGTTCTTGAAGACGGGACCAAAGTAGCTATGAAAGTTCTGAAAGGATCAACAGGGCTGCCAGGAAGTTTTTAGCCAAAGTCGAGATGCTTTAGCTGCCTACATCATAGGAATCTTGTCAAGCTGATTGATATATGTACGGAGCAAAGCGTCCTCTGCCTAGTTTACGAACTTATTTCGAATGGCAGCGTGGAATATTATTTGCATGGAAGGTAGGTATAGTGTAGATTAACACGCAACATCTTTAGGGTTAACATATTTTTGTCTTGCTCTTCATTCTGCTTCATCAGGCCAGATGCTTGGCGTCCTGGTGCTATTCACCAAAGAAACGTCGAGCCTTTCGCTGCTGCGATCACAGAGAGACCTGAAAGAGGCTGAAGTCCTGGTGAGGCTGGAGTGAGGGATTTTGATGGCTATGTTCTGATGGAGTTGGTGCTGTTGGTGCTGACGTGCAATGTGCACAACGGTTGCTGGGTGAGCAGTTAGGAAGGGGTGATGCGGTGGCGAAGAATCGGAGCATGAGGATCACGAAAGTGCAGGAGGAATCGATGGCCAACGCAGCTAAGATGGCGGAGGTCATGACCAAAGAGTTGGTCGAGAGGATGAGGTGGAAGTGTGGGCAGTGGGTGAAGACTGATTTTGAAGGCTGAGCTTCCATGGAACTGAAATAGTTGTTTGCTCGGCTTGCTGCATGAGAATTTCCTTGTGTTGGGCCAATACCTTGGGTGGTCATCTTGTGTAGTATAGAGAATTTGTGTGGATCATTGCTTTATTTGAATGGATGAACCCTATTGAATCAAATATCGATGGCCATGTTGCCAATTCTTTGAAGAATTGGGCTCTTAATACAACAATGAGCGATGAGGTATTGCTCCCTGTTTGGGGGAAAATACCAAAAACCCATAGAGATAAGGTGTGCACTTGTCAGCATACATTAAAAGTTAGTATTAAGTATGGATAATGTCGTACCTCAATAGTCTTAAAACAAGAGTAAACACCATGATATTCACATTTCACACACACTGTAACAAGTGCAAACAAAGATCGTGTCACATATGTCCTTGTTCAATAATAATCGCACAAATCATTTCCAAATCTTGATGGGAAGATAGAGGCGAGGCCGATAAGTGGATTCAACCATTTCAACATACAAAGGAAGCTGTAGGATTGCGAACAATATGATAGGGATGGCAGCCAACAAAGTAATGGGGATGTAAATCCACTTCAATCGTTCGCTAAGGACGATCATAAGAGCAGAGCCAAAAACCACGAGCATAAAGGCCAAAGAGAGGAAGAGAAAAGTGAGGCCCAGTATCATTTTTCTTGGTAGTGAGTGGAGGAAATCTTCTGTGGCATAGCGTGAAGTTTGGATAGCCAAGAACATTAAGGTGGTAGTGATAGACGAGAAGAGAGCTAGAGCGTCCGCAACCGCGAATACCATAAATGAGCCCTTCTCTAGAAAGACCGGGATCCCTGTACTGTTGTCGTTGCTTCCAGGTACTGTAAAAACCGCAACAAAAGCTACCGTAATGATGAGAGTCGCTACAAGGCTACAAGATGATGATGTATCCTTCATCCATTGTGTTGCCTCTTTGAGCAGATCTTTGCGCTGTTCTAGAAAAACTTCCCAGTATGTTTTGCCCCTCCTTTCTTTTGTTAGTTCCAATTCCAGACTTTCAGAAGAAGGACCGATCTTATCTTTCTTCACCTTCATCTATCAACGCAAATGTAAATTAAAGAGCACAAAAGGGTGGCAAAACAAATAAACGTGAACTGACCTTAAATTTCAGACTTTTGATTAAGGGAGAGCTCCTATCTTCCAGTATCTTCAGAAAACAAAGGACGTCTATTAATATGAATGTAATCACATTAAAGAGTGGCAAGCAAATACTGTGAACTAACCTTAAACCATTGAATTTCCCTTTGCAAAAGAAAAGCTGATCCAGAAACATCTGCCGGCACATATCCCAGTGACCATTCTACTGCTGTCGCCATCAGGTCGCAGTTCCTTTGAAATTTGTACCTCAATTTTGGAATTGTGTTGTACACATTCATTAGTCTAAACAACTCAACATGTTGTGCCCTCACAACTTCTTCGATTAGTTTTTTCGTGAATTCTTTATCCCACATCAATTCTGGATAATTCTCAAGACATAACTTGACAATTTCAGAGATTCCGCTAGATGCAGCGTCAAGGACAATGGCTGAAGTCAATTCGAGTATTTCAGGAGTTTCCATACTAGCCTTCTTCTCTTTAAAAACTAGAGTTGCTAACTCAAGCGAGCATTCGTGCCTTAACTTCAATTCTCCACTCCTTTTGATAAAAGGTGTTGCACGTAACATCAGATAAGCAATTTTGCTTGCGATGAAGAATCAAAAGGTAATAGAGGCTTTCGCATTTGCGTCGTGATCTTATGTATATATATAGTAGTTGAGAAAAGAATCATGGATTTAACATATTAATCAAGGAAGCAAACTTCATACGGTTTGAAAATCAAAATGCATGCCACAGAGAGCAGATGGATCTATCGATGAACACACACAATGTCATGAGAAAAAAAGAGTTTTGAAAAATGGATAGATTCAGCAACAGATCAATAAAACTGTTTTTGATTATTTTTAGATATTCTCCAAATGGATACATATCGACTAGACTTTGAATTGAATGGAATCCAATCATATTGTAATATACGAATCAAGAGCCGGTTCATATTAATAACTATGATCTCAAAGGGATATACCGAGAATATCAATTTACAATTTAGAATAGCGATCTCTACCCATGGGTAAAATAAGGTCCTTTTTCTATAGATACCACGGTACACACATACATATATATAGATTGGGTCTGAAGATATCATGTTAGTTTGTATACTTGATTTTGTGGCAAGATTTCAGAGTGATATCTTGAAGGAATGAACTTCTTTGAACCGATGAATTGCTGGTACTAAGAGGAGAGAAGAATCATATCAACAAATTAGGAATTTATGATGAACAAAAAGATACATATCACACTCATGAAATGAAAATTGCACATGTAGTTAAATTTAATAATGCTCAAATATGTTAGAAAATAACTTGGATCAATCAACCTCCATGACCTGATATCCAAATTTACAATTCTCAATAATTCTATTTGGCAATTTGACATCGAGTAAGACTTCTCAAACTCACTTTATAAATGTAAAATTAAATATTAACTTGTGACACACATCATGGTTTAGATAATAATTGTATACATAAATGTAGTCCCTATCCCTTACCTATTTTGTGAATAAGATCTCTATATGATATGCTTTTTGTCGTGTTAGTCCATCCATCGTGCAGATTAACACAAATACCTCGAGCCATCCTCATGTCTTTGGCGTTGTCAAATGATGTATCAACCAAGCGAGGGATACCTAAAAAGGGAACAGATAAAATGAACACTATGTAGAGAGAGTTGCTCTAATTGTACATATCTAACAAAAGAAGTGCAAGAAGTACCTACATTGGTAAATACATTTTTCCCAAAAATTGAGTTTAGCTCCACTACGGTAGTAAGACTTCACCTGTGTAAAGACTTCCAACAGGCTACCGTTTCTAGTATTTGCGGTCGTCGCTAAGCTGGGGTATCGACAAGCTAAATCCAAAAGTATGTCTTTTGGGACATAAGAACAAAAAAGTTAATTCAAGCAAACAATGAAGGAAATCAGGTAAGATGAGCAAGTGTGAAATCCTACCCAAATAGCCGGCCCTAATAAGGTTGCTGATGGTATCATCCTCTGGGGTGGATTTTGTATTCATGGCAAGGTGCCGGATAACCTCCTCTTGCCTAGGAGCATTTGTAGTAGCAATCAACAGGGCAAGGGTTCCGCCTTGTTCACCAACTTCGTCAAGTTTGTCTACTAATTCCTTTACCCTCCTTATTCTTCCTCTCCGGGTAGCAAGGTAGAGGGCACTAATAGTGAAAGCTTTAGATTCTGGAGGGAAGCGCTTGACCAGGTTCTCAACCAATTGATCTTGTCCGACCAAAATCGCAATATCGAGTATAGTAAGGTCATCACCTTCTACGGTTATAACTTTGGCCGTCATTGCTTTGGGATTATGACTGAGGATTCTCTCGGCAGCTTTCCAATGACCTTTTACTGCGACTTCAAACCATAATCGATACGTTTCATTGACCACCGGTGTTGGCTTGACTGCAAATATTGAACATTAAAAGTCCTCAGTCTTTCGCACTACTTGTTTTTAAGGTCAAGTGTAACCATTCCACCTACTGAAAGTTCCAATCAAATGCCGGTGCAAATCAAGGGGCAGTTGTTACTTAGCATACCTGTTTCTATGAGCGCCTTCGTTTACTCTTTGAAAGTCAAAAGTTTTTTTTGGGGGATTTCTCAATTAAAATTGAAGATATTATTATGATTTTAAAATTATGAAAAGATTATGTTTGAATTTTTATATCAGCAATTGTATGCCGTGAAGTTTAAAAATTTTAAATTAAAAAAAGTCAAAATGCAAGAAACACAAGCTTTATGAAAAAAAGGAAATATTAAAAGTTGAAATTGACAACCTCTAGTTGTTTTGTGACCATCTTGGGAAGCTTTATCATTTGCCGTCTCTTCTGAAGTCAAGTCTACGTGGATCTCTTTGTTTCCAAAAAGAGAAAAGAACATAAATAACCATAGAAAAATTAATTATACATTGTATGCTATAGATCAACTATTCAAGACTGGTGTCAAGCTCATTCATTGCATGGAATTTTTTGTATTAAACTTAGATAGTAAACTTCTAAAAAAAAAATAGATGTTACGCTGAACGAATATCCTAAGTTTTTTTTGATATAGGTATTGTATCATGTATTAGTTTTCTCGTTGTCATTGGTCTTATCCGCAATATCATTCATAATTAATGAGCACGATCTTTTACTCTTTCCAAGTAAATTTTTGTTTTGGGCTTTGTTTGTTATAATTCAAGATATTATTCGGATTTTAAAAATTATGACGAGATTATATTTGAAATCATGTGTCAGCATTTATATGTTGTGAAATTTAAAATGTTTCGAAGCAAAATAAGTCACAATGCATCCCACACAAGTTTTATGAAAAATGAGAACTAAAAGTTTGAAGTGACACACCTTCAGTTGGTCTACGACCGCCTTGGAAAGCCTTATCGATTGTCCTGCCTTCTGAATCCACGTCTAAGTGAACCTCTTTATACCAAAAAGAGAGGATAAGGATAGCACACGTATCATCACTTTCATATGGCGCTCATTTGAGTACCATGACCTTTTTTTTATCACTTGAGTGCCATATCAGTGAAAAATCGTTTAATTGAGTGCTTATTCCGGCAATTCATTGATTATTTATCTTGACTTCTGATTATCTAGTTGCACTTTCCAAATTATTTAGAAGTCATTTTCCGTTGGTTGTACCAGAAAATTCTAAACAACGCGTTTTTAGGAAACAACTTGCATATGACGCATGATTTCAGGTACCCTAAACTCGGGTTTAGAGCAAAACTATAATTGAATGAATGCCAGCTTAGTCGAATCGACATTTCCGCCTCTTGAGTCGGCTCATGTATCATTACACCAATTTTCTAAAAACAATATCACCAAAAAATCCCTTGAAATATTTAGGGTATATTTGGTTAACGAAAATGTTCTAACGAAAATTGTTCCTCATTTCATCTTCCATTTTCTTGAAAATATGTTTTGAGAGTGAAAGGTAACAGCTTTTAACAGGAATGAAAGTTACAGGAGCACGCCTGGTGTAGTTGTTTCAAAGCAATGCTCGTGCAAAGTAATGTCGATTTGAGTCGTTTTTAGTTTCAAGGTTCAAAAGTTGAAAACAAGGCAACCAAAATTTCTACCAAACGTATTTTCCTCAAAAAATTTGGAAAGAAAAACAGGAAATTGGACAAATTCCCCGTATCAAACATGCCCTCAAGTTCGGCGCAAATTATCTTCTTTTGAGGATTTTTTTAAAAAGTGTCCAGATACTTTGTCAAGTAATAAACAAAGAAATGTTGCAATTCCCACATTCTGTCGATGAGATTGCTTATATTACTTCGAAATTAACACCCAAAAAGCCAAAACTCTTTCCAATTTTTCTATTGCCTTTGTAGGATCAAATCAGAACGATAAAGGAAAAAAGAGAACAGACCTGGCAATGGTTTCAGAATCGAATTGTCTTGGGTATCCATGGAGGATTCTTTGCGGTGGCGTCTCGCGAAGCCGGTGAAACTCTTAAGCGGAGCAGTATCTTTAGCCGGTTGAAGTCGAAGTTATGTTCTGCTCTCATGGATATTCTCCTCTTACGCATTCGACCTGTGGATGCAGACAAAGCTCCAGCTCCCGATGATGTACCCTTCTCTTTTCCCGAATGGCGTCTTCATTTCCAAAATTTATGGAAATTCCTATTACTTTTTCCTTTTCTTCCACTATATATGGCTACAAAATCAGAAGGGCGGCACTCCACTAGTAAGAACTAGAAACTAGAAACGCTTGACAAAGGAAGAAGAAGAAGAAAGAAGAGGAGAATCATGAAATCTTGCATTGATCAATTTTGAGTGAGCAAAATCGACGGCCGAGATTGAGCAGCAGCCGACTTGATGAGCGGCAGCGGCCGACTTGATGATCGGCGAAGATGGGGCTGGCCGTGTCAAATACCGTGGGTGTGCCGCCGCACGGTATAACTACTACCTACTCCTCCTTTGGAAAAAAAACCTGGTATCGGACCGAATCGAATCGACGGCGGAGGGAGAATGGTCATTGTGCCAGGTCAGCAACCACCCTCCTCACCGCTTCCTGGAAGCCCGCCTCGTCCCATTCGCCTCCCTACAATAATGCATGGTGGTGGACCAAATTTTCGAATAACTATCATTAAAAATAAAAATACCAAATCAAAGATTGACCTAAACATATATATAAACAAAAAGAATAAATTTGAATTTATAATTACTAATCCTTGTCGATTTCAACATAACACTTCTCTTTCTCGTGCAAGACAGTAAAAGGGAATGAAACGGTTCATTTAATTTATTCCATTTTTTAGGATGTATCCAACTCATAAAATTGATCGATTTCATGTGATTTGTTTTTTTGAAATCTTAAGTGATATTGTTGGTCAATGTAAATCATGTGCACCCAAATGGATATTGTTGCATTGTAAACCAACAATCCGATCAAACTCATAAAATCGTGTCATAAAAAAAGACATATAGAATTGTAATTTGTATAAGTATATATCATATGCATACCCGTTTTAGAGGTGAATGATATGATCACGAGCGATAGCTAACTCTACATTGTTCTTTGGCGAGTAAACTATTCGAAAACGTCTCATGGTAAGAATATGTCCATAAGGTATTACCGCTAATTAAGAAAAAAACACTATCTACAATTTAAAACTCTATATCGGAAGCTTCGCATCATTGTTTATCGTGCATACCTCGACGTTTAGTCTCAAGTTGACCCGATTGACGATGTTCGATTCGTGCACTTGGGTGTCGGCTTCCATGGACATCAGGCTCATGTTCCTCACTTGCCTCAAGAACTTGAGGATTCGGATCACCAGATTCAATGCCGAGCAGTCTCCCCTCACGGTCACCTGCAGGTCCACGGTCCGGTCTTGCGACGTCGACTCCGAGACGGTCCTCGTTCGAACGTCGACCCTGGAGCGGTCGCTCGGCGGCCCGCTCGGCTCCCCGCCGCCGCCAGTGGGTTCAGTCGGCGGCAGGAGTTGGGCTTCGAGAATGGCGTTCTTCCGACGGAGATCCTCGACTTGTTCCTTCAACGAGCCGAGGTACTCCCTCGTGGTCGCAAGCAAGGATGCTTTGTCTTTCTGCACAATGTGATGGACATAGATCTATGAGGAGGAATGCATCTTGAATTGCATACGACATTATAAGCTGATCATTGAACAAACTATTACACGACATGATGAGCTACATAAGGTTACTTATTGCCTTTGAAATTGTAAAGGTTCGGTACTTATAATGCGTCCTTATAATCAGTTCAAGATATACAAGACGACATGAAATATCAAATCCCCTGTAACCCAGAAAAAACCTAAACTGGTTCAAGTCACAACCTCTTAAATAGATGCCAAAAGTGGGAAAACTCATGTTCATTTATTCTGAAAAATTAGAGTCTCAAAATGAATTCCATACCTTGGTTCCAGGAGGAAGAAGCGATCTCAATGCGACGAAGCTCTCGTTGAGCTTCTCGCGCCGCTTCCTCTCCGACATCATATGGTGGAGCTGAGTGGTCGATGGGGGTCGGCTCCCGCCTTGCAACCGGTCGCGGATCCGCAGCAAGTTCATGCCCCAACAGTACGAGATTGCCCGCTTGAGCATGCTGTGCTTCTGAGGGCCGTGCTTGCTCTGCGGTCTCGGAAGCAACGCCGGCGTATATCTCCTGAACGCAGTCGGTCTCGGATTTTCGACATTCATTTGTTGTTGCTGTAGTTGTGACGAAGAAGTAGATGAAGAAGGCGATGATAGAACTGCAAGGACGGCTCTCGTCATAGCGGTGTGTTCGCTCTCAGGGACAATCGGGAACTGAATGTTCCCGAGCGATCTTGCGAAGTCTTGCATGGCTTGCAATGGGTGAGGACTAGTACCAGTTGTACTAGAACCAGGAGTATCGGTGGTGGTTATAAGTGGCAACAACTGTGTGGTAATATTCTCTACAATTGGAGGGTCTCTGAGGGCTAATTCCGGGTTAATGAAGGAACTTGTGGTAGTGGTGGGTATGCTGAAGAGAAGAGAAGAGTATTCGGGGCTGTCCATGGAGAGCGATCTTAGAGACGACGAGGAAGACGAAGGAGGATTCGTCATAGCTGTAGTGTTCGGTTCAGTTGCTTGGGCCAATTCGCGCATCGCTATTTGTCTTGAGAAATCCTCTGGGAACAAGTTCATCATCTGCATTTCTAAGTCAACCTGCTAAAACCATCATTTCTGAGATTAATTATACCGATTTCTTAGTTTTCTTCACTTGCATAAAACATTGTCGTGAATTTATGTACCTGAGGTATGTTGGAGAAGCCTAGCTCAATCTCTCCACTCCTGCATCCCATGAATACTGCAATCTTGAGAAAGATTTAAGCATCATCAGGATCTGCAGGATTTTCTAGGAAAAAAACTACATGTGTGCCCATCAAAAAGCACATTTTTTGTTGCATATACCTACCTTGATGCTTGCTTCCTACGACCAAAAGAAAGACAAAATTAGCAACTTTGAGTCAGTAAGACGATGCAGAAACATTAGATTCAGCATCAAGAATGAGAATTATGAGATGGGTATGTGAAGCATTACTTGATAGAATTGTCTTTGACAAGAGTTGGAGGCCAATCTTGAAAGGTCTTCCTCTCTGAATTCAAGGTAGGGGCTGCTGTTCCTGAAGGCCAATCCTGGGACTTGGGTGTGGCTGCTGCAAATTATAGAGTGGAAAAACATAAAAAATAGACAAAATCTTAAATTGGGTAAACTCCAAAATCGTAATCTTTTAATCCGTTTCTCTTTGAATGTTAGAGATGTATAATTCAGATCATGCAGTACCTGTTCTGATGAAGGATGAACAGAGACTGCCTATACTCGTCAAAAAGTCTCCTGGGTTGAATGTTGTTTCCATTACCCCCACTCGCAGCTTCCTCGAAGAGACCATCCAAGTAGCACAAACAGCTGCAGAAAAAGACAAGATCATCAGCTGACACAAACACCGAGAAAGTACTAATTAAACACTTTTAGCGAGAGAGAGAGAGAGAGAGAGGACCTAGTGGGAGATAAGTAAGACCAGAGACAGATGTATCTGCAACCAAACGACTGGGCAATGAGGTGGAGGAAGTTGGATCGAGCATCTCCATCGAGGAGGAACGACGAGTCCATGAGATGGGAAGATGGAGCCGGAGCCGATGAAGAAGATGGTGATGGTGATGATGATGAAGTGGAGAGACCCTTTTATATTGCTCAGATCACCTCTCTCCTCTCTCCCTCTGCTTTCTTCCCCCTTTCAGGCCATCTCGATGGTGGTGTCCCTACCCTCTGTCCTGATTCTGAAAAGTATTCCCAAGTAAATATATAAAGAGAGAGAGTCTAAGCAGCCAATTTTTATTAGGGTTAATATCACGAAAAATCCTAAAATGGTACATTTGTGACATATTTATCCCGAACTATTTTTTTGATCATAAAAAACCCCAAACTGGTACACCTGTGATAATTTTACCATGAACTATTTTTTTGACCACCAAAAACCCCAAACCGGTACATCCATGACAATTTTACCGTGAACTTATCACAAAAAACCCCAAACTGGTACATATGTGACAATTTTACCCTGAATTAAAATTTTTGTATTATTTTTTATTTTTTTCGAAATTTTATTTATTTTTTATTCTTTTCTTTTCCTTTTTTTTCATCTTTAGACCCTGGCCGGTCGTCGGTCCGCGACCGGCCGAGGCGGAGCCGCGAGGCCGCCCTCGCGGGCTCGGCGAGGCCTCGCGGCGTCGAGCGAGGCCGCCTCGCCGGCGTCGGCGAGGCCTCGCCGGCTCGGCGAGGCGCCTGCGCGCGAGGAGCCGCCTCGCCGCCCAGGCAAGAGCGACCCTCGCCGACGCAAGCGAGGGCAACCCTCGCTGCGTCGGGCGAGGGCCGCCTCGCCCGACGGGCGAGGTTCGCCCTTGCCCTGGGCGAGAGAGGACGCTCTGCCGACGCCGCGCGAGGGCGGCCCTCGCCCGACGCAGCGAGGGTCGCCCGACGCCGACGAGGGTCGCCCTCGCCCGACGCCGGCGAGGGCGGCCCTCGCCGGCTTCCGCCTCTGGCCGGTCGCCGGACCGGCGACCGGCCAGAGGTTGAAGGTGAAGGAAAAAAAAAAGAAAAGAAAAAAGAAAAAATTCAAAAAAATAAAAAAAATAATATTAAAAATTAGTTTGGAGTAAAATTGTCATATGTGTACCAGTTTAGGGTTTTTTGTGGTATGTTTGGGGTAAAATTGTTACGGGTGTACCAGTTTAGGGTTTTTTATGGTCAAAAAAATAGTTTAGGATAAATGTGTCACAAGTGTACCAATTTAGGGTTTTTTGTGGTATTAACCTTTTTTATTAAGGTTGTTAGCAACTGGCTTCCAAGGATTAGGTGTCGTGTTGGTGTTGAGGAGGATGACAGGGTCCACCTTGGAACGCAGCCAAGGTCTTGTCGAGGGGTGGAGGAGCGTTGAAAAGTACACGAGGCTAGAAGGGGGGGAGAAAGGGCCTTAGAAAACCAAAAAAGAGAGTAATATTTTAGATAATGGGAGAGCTCCCCACGATGTATATTGTCGAGACTAAATCTATTGAATCTAAGTTAATCAAAATTTGGAAAGATTGACATGCCCAGTGGGAACTACTCCTAAAATTTGTATGGGGAAAAAGTCCATCGTGGTACAAAAATATGATTGAAGCCCATCAAATTTTTATTTAATTATGATATAAACACGCTGTTTCGATTGATATAATTTAAATTAGATTACATTCGATAACTTACCGAAGCAAAATGTTTAGTATTTATGCTCCTTTTAGTACTCCATTGGCCGAATAGACTTTTGTTCATTTTTGTATCACATTCTTCTATCTGTACTTTT